CTTACCTTCAAGGCTGCCTCTTCCTTCCATTAACCCTTCTCTGATTTCACGCCCCCTCCTTCCTCCCTGGTTGGAATCTCACTTTTTTTTTTTTTTAGATGGAGCTCTTGCTGTGTCACCCAGGCTGGGTGCAGTGGCGTGATCTCAGCTCACTGCACGCTCCGCCTCCCAGGTTCAAGTGATTTTCTGCCTCAGGCTTCCCAAGTAGGCTGGGACTACAGGCGGCCTGCCACCACGCCCGGTTAACTTTTTTTTGTATTTTTAGTAGAGACAGGGTTTCACTGTGTTACTTTTTGATACACAAACATCTTCTACACCTATTCTAGGAGTACAGGGGCTATTTCTGCTCCACATCTATCTTCCCATGTCATAGCAATAGTTTAACACCAGAGCAGGTCTTTCAATAACGCTTACTGAACAAAATTGAATTGTACTTTGTCACAGAGGATGTTATCTATACTGTATTTGGGGTAAAGAAACGGGCTGTGGGAGGGCATGCAAGAACCATATTCCATTGTTTTTATTTAGAGATGGGGTCTCGCGGCGCGCAGTGGCTCACGCCTGTAATCCCAGCACTTGGGAGGCTGAGGTGGGGTGGATCACCTGAGGTCAGGAGTTCGAGACCCACCTGGCCAACATGGTGAAACCCTGTCTCTAGGCCCGGGCACGGTGGCTCAAGCCTGTAATCCCCAGCACTTTGGGAGGCCGAGGAGGGTGGATCACAAGTCAGGAAATCGAGACCATCCTGGCTAACATGGTGAAACGCCGTCTCTACTAAAATACAAAAAACTAGCCAGGCGTGTGGCGGTGGCCTGTAGTCCCAGCTACTCGGAGCTGAACGCAGGAGAATGGGCGTAAACCCGGGAGGCGGAAGCTTGCAGTGAGCCGAGATCGCGCCACTGCACTCCAGCCTGGGTGACACAGCCGAGACTCCGTCTCAAAAAAAAAAAAAAGAAACCCCTGTCTCTACTAAAAAATACAGAAAAGTAGCCGGGAGTGGTGGCAGGCGTCTGTAATCCCAGCTACTCAGGAGGCTAAGGCAGGAGAACTGCTTGAACCCAGGAGGCAGAGGCTGCAGTGAGCCAAGATTGCACCACTGCACTCCAGCCTGGCAACAAGAGTGAAACTCCATCTCAAAAAAAAAAAAAAAAAAGAGAATGGGGATCTCCACTATTTAGCCAGGTTGGCTTGAACTAAAAAAAAAAAAAAAAAAGAGATGGGGATCTCACTATGTTAGCCAGGTTGGTCTTGAACTCCTGGCTTCAAGTAATCCTCCCACCTTGGCCCCCCAAAGTGTTGAGATTACAGGTATGAGCCACAACACTCAGGCCCAGGAACCATATTCTAAAGGCAGGGGAGAATTCTGAGATGACAAGATACTTGGGTTCTAGACGCAAGTATATGATAGCAGGGTAGACCTCTCTCCCAACTTGGACCCATACCCTGCTTCCTGAAATACCTGAGCTGCCTGGAACACAAGAACAGTCTCTCCCCATGCTTCTTTCCCTATGGTACCACAGCCATGTTGGTTTCCTCTCCGGATCTAAAAGGGCACTGAGTCAGGTTTATTATAGTGATCTGCTGTTTCATGGCCTGAACCTCACCTTGGCCAACTGGCTGGTCTGGGGTGGCTGGGCAGGCTCGCTTTTTTCAAGAGCAGCTGTACTTCCCACCTGTCACTGCCTGAGTGTGAAATTTCAAAACTGGCCTCATAGTACACTGCCTGGGAAAGATTCTACCACCCAGAGAAGTGGAAGGAGTCAGTGTTAGTCTGGGCAGGCCCCATCCAGAACAGTTGTGCAGTGACAACTAAAAAAAATGACAAGGATAAGGAGTCTGTTACTATATCAATAGCTCAGGGACTTTCTGCAGTGGGCTGGCAGCCTTTGGTAACAGCATAGACTAATAGTTCCCAAACCCCACCACCCACAGACTCCATCAGTGATTCCTAGTCAGTCCATAGCACAGTAAGCCATCTCTTCTTATCATCCCATACGCTCTATGTACATTGGCATGTTCTTTGCAGTTCCTATTCCTTTTCCCTGCCTCATTCTCCTCTCTTTATGACAGCATTTATTTCAGTGGGCTTTGACTGCATAGTAAAGGGAGTGAGATTAGTTGGGTCTAATCTTCTCTGGACCACTTACTTGATTAGCATAGCGTTTTGGTAACTTCTTGACAGTGTCAATGTCCATTTCTTCATCATCTTTCTTATCTTCTTCCTCACTCTCCATCCCTGTCCAGTCATCTTCAGCCAGTCTTCTGGCATGGTTCACATAATCCAGCCGCTTGCTGGAAGGAAAAAAAAGGCATAAGGACAGATCTTTTTTTTTTTTTTTTCTTTTCCAACCTTTATTTCTGTTGCCCAGGCTGGAATGGTGCAATCTCAGCTCACTGCAGCCTCGACATCCTGGGCTCAAGTGATCTTCCCACCTCAGCTTCCAGAGTAGGTGGGACTACAGGCACATACCACCACCCCTGGCTAATTTTTGTATTTTTTGTAGAGATGGGGTTTCACCATGTTGCCCAGGCTAGTCGCAAACTCCTGGCTTCAAGTGATCTGCCTACCTCAGCCTCCCAAAGTGCTGGGATTATTAGGCACAAGCCACCACGTCTGGCCAGGGCAGGTCTTTATGTCTTCTAGGAAGATGCCCTATAATGCGACACATTTAATTCGAAATCTCCAAATTTGGGAGCAGCTTAGGGATTCTGGTGGAAGTAAGAAATGATGGAATCTCCTTTGCAAGGCTAAACCAGTGACTGCCCCCTCAAAATCCTAAATAGGGAAACCCCCTCTGAATACACTCAGTCTTCCTCAGAGTTTCCTAAGAATGCAAAATAAAATATCTAAAGAAATTTCCAAGGTTCACTAGCTGGAAAGGCTAATTTCACCCCGACCCCATCCCACCCCAGATGAGAGCTGACACCTTCCTGCCTAGCAGACAGCTCATCCAAAGACCCCAGGGATGGAAGAGAAGAGCCACTGAGATGTAGTGAGAAGTCTAAAGCAAGGACAGCTTCTGGAGATTTCTGCTTTATACACCTTTTTTGTTTTTAAAGAGAACTTTTTCTTTTGTAGGGACTGTAGGTGTATGCCACTGTGCCCAGCTTACACAGCTTTCTCAGAAGCCTGGTCTTTCTCCAGTTCCTGTCTAACTTTCAAAAAAGGCCACTTAGTTTACAATTTAATATATTTTATTTATTTGTTTCCCTTTATCATTATCTTGTTTTAAAACAACACATGCTAGAAAGTTTGGGAAACTGAATAGAAAAAAAAAGAACTTTTTGGAATCTAATTGTTTCAAAGTGATTTGGAAATACCACATAACCTCCCACACTTGATTTCTTCAATGCTAAGGCAGGAATTCCACCACTGAGGCAGTGAAACCAACACAGCTGGTTTCTCTTAAACACATACATGTTCATGCTCACTACAAAAAGGCACACACCAGAGAGAACATATGAAAGCACAATGGTCTTTTATCTCGAGAATAAAAGAGCTGGTATATTTGTACATGTGTGAAAGAAAGTCTGCCTGTGGTTATTTCCTGAGCATTGTTTGTGATCACAAAAGAAGAAAACTGCCCAGACGCCCATCAGGAAGGACTGGCTAGATGGCATTATGAAGTATCCATTCCATGGAATACCTGGCACCATGAAAAAGGAATGATGTGGTACTTTATGAACTGATACAGAATTTCTCCCCCAAAACACCACTAAATAAATGTGCAGAACAATATATAGTATACTGCTACTTGTGTTTAAAAAAAAAAAAAGGCCAGGCGCAGTGGCTCCTGCCTGTAATCCCAGCCCTTTGGGAGGGTGAATTGGTCAGACCACTTGAGCTTACGAGTTCAAAATCGGCTTGGGCAACATAGTGAAATTCTGTCTCTACCAAAAATACAAAAATTAGCTGGGTGTGGTGGCCTGTGCCAGTGGTCCCAGCTACTTGGGGGGCTGAGGTTGCAGTAAGCCAAGATCATGCCACAGTACTCAGCCTGGATGACAGAGTTTAAAAAAAAAAAAAAAAAAGGCCAGGCGCGGTGGCTCAAGCCTGTAATCCCAGCACTTTGGGAGGACGGGCGGATCACGAGGTCAGGAGATCGAGACCATCCTGGCTAACATGGTGAAACCCCATCTCTACTAAAAAATACAAAAAAACTAGCCGGGCGAGGTGGTGGGCGCCTGTAGTCCCAGCTACTTGGGAGGCTGAGGCAGGAGAATGGCGTAAACCCGGGAGGCGGAGCTTGCATGAGTCGAGATCCGGCCACTGCACTCCAGCCTGGGTGACAGAGCGAGACTCCATCTCAAAAAAAAAAAAAAAAAAGCTTTTATACATATACTACCACACACACTTGCTCATATATACATACAATATCTTCAGAAGGGCCGGTCGTAGTGGCTCACATCTGAAATCCCAGCACTTTGGGAGGTCAAGGTGGGAGGATCAGTTGAGACTAGGAGTTCAAGATCAGCCTGAGCAACAGAGGGAGACCCTATACCTACAAAATATTAAAAAATTAGCCAGGTGCTATGGAGTGTGCCTGTAGTCCCACCTACTTCAGAGGCTGAGGTGGGAGGATCACTTGAGCCTGGGAGGTTGAGGCTGCAGTGAGCCAGGATCTGCACACTCCAGCCTGAACAAGAGAGTGACACCCTGTCTAATATATATATATATTTGGAAGGATACACAAGAAACTAATAATACAGGAGAGGAACTGGATAGCTATGGGACAGAAATGGGAAGAAGACTTCACCATATACTCTTCAATTCATTTATTTTATTTTTTTGAGAGTCTAGCTCTGTTGCCCAGGCTGGAGTGCAGTGGCGCGATCTTGGCTTACTACAACCTCCAGCTCCCGGGTTCAAGTGATTCTCCTGTCTCAGCCTCCTAAGTAGCTGGGACTATAGGCGTGCACCACCATGTCGGGCTAATTTTTGTATTTTTAGTAGAGACAGTTTTTTGCCATGTTGGTCAGGCTGGTCTCGAACTCCTGACCTCAGGTGATCCACCTGCCTCGGCCACCCAAAGTGCTGGGATTACAGGCGTGAGCCACTGTACCTGGCCTCTTCTGTATATTTTAAATTTTCAATCATATAAATGTATTACCTATTCAAAGATAACTACATTTTTAAAAATGGGGAGAGGAATGATCTGGAAATGTATTCTGCAAAGCCACCCAGAGCCACAGGGAACCAACCATCTCTGCCAAACACAACCAGTGATGCAACACTGGGCAAAATGCAGACTGTATGGAAACTATGCAGCTGTTAGTAGTTTCTTCTGATCCCTAATTCCTTAATTTATGACCCAGAAGAGGCCCATGCTGCACTGAGAATATAAGAATCGGCCCCACCTTCAGAGCAGCTCAGCCTTAAACACTCTTATCCTGCCCTATTTCCCTGTTTGCCCATCTTGGCACTTAGAATTAAGTGTATGGAAGACATTTCCTCAGATTCCCTTAGGAATTATTTGTCTTGAACTCCCAAGAGTGCCACAGAAACATTTGGGCTGACGGCAGATGGGAAGACCACACCAATACCAGCATTCAGAGTACAGAAGCCAAACACAAGCATCCCAGGAAATGTGGGGAGTGAAAGTCTGGGCGTGGCTTTCACAAGTTCCTAAACCACAGAGCTCAGTACAGCTGCCAGGAAAAAAAAGAAAAACTTAACCAAATAATTGAGCTTTCGGTTTAAAAGTTTGGTCTCTCCCTACTTCCTCATCTCCTAAGCTCTGGGTATAAAAGAAACCTATTGGCTGGGCACGGTGGCTCACGCCTGTAATCCCAGCACTTTGGGAGGCCGAGACGGGCGGATCATGAGGTCAGGAGATGGACACCATCCTGGCTAAACCCCGTCTCTACTAAAAAATACAAAAAATTAGCCGGGCGTGGTAGTGGGCGCCTGTAGTGCCAGCTACTCAGGAGGCTGAGGCAGGAGAATGGCGTGAACCCGGAGGCTATATATAGTTTTTAACTATTTGTGCCTATACAGTTTTGAGTAACCCAGTTGTCTTTTGAAATTTCAACTTATTTGTAGAGCGAGACTCAAAAAAAAAAAAAAAAAAAAAAAGAAACCTAACTCTGCCAGGATTTACCCCTCTGAATCCCAATCTGTGGGCAAGAAGATCAGCTAGCCAACAAAAAGTCTACTTTGAAGGGGGACTCTGTAGAGACAAGCCTAGAGCCTTCGGAATGGTTCACAGCTCCTAGCCCAGAGAAAGAAGCCAAGGAGTTAAAGCTTCCTTACGATTTCTGCAGTTCCAGTAACCGCCGGCGGCGCTCACTCTGCTCCAAGGAACTGTACTTGGACTTGTACTGGGATAGGCGGGGGTGTGGGGCAGCTGTGCTGTTCAGATCTTGAGACACAGAAAAGCTACTAGCCAGGGCTTGACTCAACTCTTCCATCTTCCCTACAAGAAAAACGTAAGAAAATGGTTCATTCATTTCATATCATCTCCTGTATACAGGCAGTTATGCAGTTATGACATAATATGATGGCCATATTCCTGAAAAAACATTAACTTAATGCAAAATCACAATTGTTTCCATGAGAAAAAAGGAAGTTAAAGGGTAAATTAGTCATATATTAGCAATAACATTATTTTCCTACAGATATTTCCTTTTTTTCTTTTTTTTGAGACAGTGTCCTCTCTATCACCCAGGCTGGAGTGTAGTGGCGCAAGCATAGCTCACTGTTGCCTCAATCTACTGGGTGAAGCGATCCTCCTACCTCAGCTTCCCCAGTAACTGGGACCACAGGTGTACACCACCACACCCAGCCAATTTTATAATTTATCGGTACAGACAGGATCTCCCTATGTTGCCTAGGCTAGTCTTGAACTCTTGGGCTCAAGCAATCTTCCCTCTTCAGCCTCTCAAAGTGCTGGGATTATAGGTGTGAGTCACTGCGCCCCGCCTTTTCTGAGCAGTTCCTCTATAGTTTCCTGAATAGCCACCACTCATTAACCAATGTAACTCTCTATGCAGTTTATTCAACTGTTTAATTGAATTAATTTCAATTAATTCAATTAATTACTTTATTCAATTGTAAATTGAATTAATTTATTTAATTCTCAACTAAGTGTCAACTCATATTATGAAAATTTAGTTCCAGAGGAAACACTGGTTCTAGGGTCCCTGGAGGAAGACAAGAGGAGTCAAAAACCCCAAACTTGCTGGGCGCAGTGGCTCACGCCTATAATCCCAGCACTTCTGGAGGCTGAGGTGGGTGGATCACGAGGTCAGGAGTTTGAAACCAGCCTGACCAACATGGTGAAACCCCATCTCTACTAAAAATACAAAAATTGGCCAGGCACGGTGGCTCAAGCCTGTAATCCCAGCACTTTGGGAGGCCGAGACGGGCGGATCACGAAGTCAGGAGATCGAGACCATCCTGGCTAACACGGTAAAACCCCGTCTCTACTAAAAAATACAAAAATACAAAAAACTAGCCGGGCGAGGTGGCGGGCGCCTGTAGTCCCAGCTACTCAGGAGGCTGAGGCAGGAGAATGGCGTAAACCCGGGAGGCAGAGCTTGCAGTGAGCTGAGATCCGGCCACTGCACTCCAGCCCGGGTGACAGAGCGAGACTCCGTCTCAAACAAACAAACAAACAAAAAAAACCAAAAATACAAAAATTAGCTGGACGTGGTGGCAGGCACCTGTAATCCCAGCTACTCGGGAGGCTGAGGTAGGAGATTCGCTTGAACTTGGGAGGCGGAGGTTTCCGTGAGCCGAGATCGTGCCACTGCACTCCACCGTGGGCGACAGAGCAAGACTTCAAAAGAAAAAAGAAACTCTAGCCAGGCATGGTGGCTCATGCCTGTAATTCCAGCACTTTGGGAGGCCAAGACAGGAGAATCACTTGAGGCCAGGAGTTCAAGACCAACCTGGACAATGTAGTGAGGCTATGTCTCTACTTTTTAAAAAAGTAAAAAATTATTTTAAATTATATTTTATTTTTTAAAAATCTGGCTGTTACTTCCTCATAGTCTAGTTTTGTTTTGTTTTTAGGTGGGCAGAAAGAAGGTTTCAGGGTTACTTATGTGGGACTCACTTGGAAAAGAGCTAGGATGTGGAGGGCTGCTTAACAAGTAACGCCAATGCGCCAGTAGTGTGAAGAACTTACATAAAGTACATTAGGGAAACAAGACAAGTAGATGTCATTTTGAAAACAGACTTCCCACTTCAGGTGGACCCTAAAGAATGGGAGTGGGGAGAAAGGTGAATTCACACTTTATTCACACTCCTGTGAGCCTTAGACTATAAGAAAACAGGAACATTTGGGAGAAATCTGACTCGCACTGCTGGGCTGGCCCAACCCTCTGGTTCTAGTGTAAACCAGAGGGCACCTCCAGTGCTTAACCTCCATCCCAGGCCAGGTCCAGTGCTCTCAGCACCAAAATCAACAGGTTCATTCCAGAGCCTCTACAGTGAAAAATACAACTCCATAGCCCTCTACTTGGCCAGTGAGTTACTTTCTATTGCCCAAGTGAAGTCAGATCTTTTTCTTCATTTGAAACATTAGATTTTGTTTAATTAATTAATTTTTTTGAGATGGAGTCTCGCTCTGTCACCCAGGCTGAAGTGCAGTGGTACGATCTCGGCTCACTGCAAGCTGTGCCTCCCGGGTTCATGCCATTCTCCTGCCTCAGCCTCCCGAGTAGCTGGCACTACAGGCGCCTGCCACCACACAAGGCTAATTTTTTGTATTTTTAGTAGAGACAAGGTTTCACCCTGTTAGCCACGATGGTCTCGATCTTCTGATCTCGTGATCCGTCCGCCTTGGCCTCCCAAAGTGCTGGGATTACAGTCGTGAGCCACTGTGCCTGGTCGATTTTGTTTAATTTAAAAGGAACTTAAAAATTGTGGTTTGCCAGGTGCAGTTGTGCTTGCCTTTAGTCCCAGCTACTCTGGAGGCTGAGGCAGGAGGTACGCTTGAGCCCAGGAGTTTGAAGCCAACCTGAGCAATATAGCAAGACCCTGTCTGTAAAATGAAAAAAAAAAAACTGTGGCTAAATTCACATATCATGAAATTCGTCATCTTAACCATTTTTAGGTGTACAGTTCTGTAAACTTAAGTATGTTCAACACTGCTGTGCAGAACTCTCCAGAACTCTTTTTATCTTGAATAACTGAAACTCTATAACCTTTAAACATAAAAGAATTTTTTTTTTTTTTGAGACAGAGTTTCGCTTTTGTTACCCAGGCTGGAGTGCAACCGTACCATTTCAGCTAACTGCAAGTCCCGCCTCCTGGGTTCACGCCATTCTTCTGCCTCAGCCTCCCTGGTAGCTGGGATTACAGGCGTGCGCTGCCACGCCTGGCTAATTTTGTACTTTTTTTTTTTTTCAGTAGAGATGGGGTTTCTCCATGTTGGTCAGGCTGGTCTCGAACTTCTGACCTCAGGTGATCCGCCTGCCTAGGCCTCCGAAAGTGCTGGGATTACAGGCGTGAGACGCCGCGCCCCGTCATAAAAGTAACTTTTTAGTAGATAAGATTAGCCTATTATCAGTGTGAATTTAAGATGTGTCTTTTTTTTTTTTTATGAGACGCAGTCTTGGCTCTGTCGCCCAGGCTGGAGTGCAGCGGTGCGATCTCGGCTCACTGCAAGCTCCGCCTCCCGGGTTCACGCCATTCTCCTGCCTCAACCTCCTGAGTAGCTGGGATTACAAGCGCCCGCCACCACGCCCGGTTACTTTTGTTTTTGTATTTTTAGTAGAGGCGGGGTTTCACCGTGTTAGCAAGGATGCTCTCCATCTCCTGACCTCGTGATCCCGCCCGCCTCGGCCTCCAACAGTGCTGGGATTACAGGCGTGAACCACCACGCCCGGCATTTTTTTTTTTTTTGAGATAGGGTCTCGCTCTGTTTCCCAAGTGCAATGGCATGATCTCGCCTCACTGCAGCCTCCACCTCCTGGGTTCAAGTGATTCTCCTGCCTCAGCCTCCTGAGTAGCTGGGATTACAGGCGTGCACCACCATGCCCGGCTAATTTTTGTATTTTTAGTAGAGAAGGGGTTTCATCATGTTGGCCAGGCTGGTCTGAAACTCCTGACCTCAAGTGATCCGCCTGCTTCAGCCTCCCAAAGTGCTCGAATTACAAGCATGAGCCACTGCACCCGGCCTGAGGCATGTCTTAATATCTTTGCAGTGCAACCAGGGATTGCCATTCCTGAGTAAGTTTGAAATCTTTCATAATAAAAAATTTTTTTAAGTCATTATGTCTTCAGTTCATCACCAAAGTAATGACCAAATCCAAAGCACCTTTACTAGGCCTATCATGCACTATCTTGGTGTGGGCTCCCGCTCTGCCAAGAACCACACAACCTTTGAAGCTGATGTCCTGGATACTGGGGCGGTTCCTTTACCTTCCTTCAAGGCTGTTCTTGGCGAGCTCCTGCTGTTTCAACCCATTCCTTGGATGGTACTGCCTCCAAGTGTTCGGACCTTAGCCCAAGGTGGTTTTATTTTCCACCATTATCCCCCGCCTCCAACTCCCTAAAGTACGACCCGACCAGGCCCCGCCCACGCTCCACCCTCCCTCCCTGTCTAGCCCCTTCCCCCATCCGTTCCCCCTCTTTCGCGTCTTCCCATCCGGCGCCCCCGCCTCGTGTTCCCTGGGCCCACATCCTGCCAGCCTCCGCGTTTCCCTACCCCTGCTACCGGGCTCCAACCCCGGGGACGCTATCTGCTCCATTCGGCCGTGCGCGCCGCCACCGCCCCGCACCGCCTTTTTCTAGGCGTGGGGTCATCTAGGCCATGCGTGATTCACCCCTGCCCCACAAAAGTCCCTGAGGGGTCCTGGCCGGACACTACGGACTAGAAGAATGGAAACTCTCCCAAAAGGAGTCCCCGGCCTGGCTCTACCCCTCCAGATGACGCCCCGGGAAGCCAGAGTGCGGGGCCGGCCACAGGGAGTCACAGCCCGGCACCGAGAGGCAACTCGGCAGCTGGCGGGGCCCGGGCTCGAACCCAGGGACTCACCCAAACCGAGGTGACCGTCGCACGCGCCGCTGCCGCCACTGCGACCGACCAATCACCTGCCCTGGGAGAGCTGGGCCCGCCCCCCCCCTAGCGGCTGCCGCACCGCTGGGCCCACAGGCCTCGAGCCCTGAGTTTCCGGCTCCTCCCTACTTTGCGAACGCTGGGAGTTCCGTTGCCTGCAGGCCGTTACTTCCGCCTTCAACGGCTGGCGCATTTCCCAACGGCTAGGGTGGGGGCCCTCCTGCATTTGCTTTGCACTGTCCGGGACCCTTCCTGCAAGATGACTTGACCAGGCCGAGGCCTCCCTCCTGAGCACAAGCTCTCGGGGCTCCTTTCGCCAATGGGAGGAGGCTGATCTTGTGGCCCGGCATTCAAGGCCCTGGGTCCTGCCGCCTCCCGCAGATGCTCCCGGGTCTTAGGGCTGCACCTGGAGTCCCCTTCCCCCTCCTGTGCCCGTCCTTTTAAACGGACAGTGCCAATTGCGTGGATTACTCCTCCTAACCCCTCACACCCAAGTTTCAGACACAGACCTTCCCTCCCCCACTTGCCCTTACAAAAGCAGATACATACCCCGATTATTGCCTGTTTGCTGCTGTTGCCAGCTTCTTTCTCACTCGGCTGCGGGCTGAGCAATGGCAGGGACCTGGCTTGATTCCTACTTAAGTAGCCAGAGTCCAGCATAAGGGATGGTGCTCAGTAGACCCTGGGTGAAGGAATGATTGAATTGGTGCAAGAGATTAGGGGAAGCGGCAGAGATTTAGGAGATTCAGTCCTACCAGGGTGTAGCCTCTGCAAGTCGGGACGGCTGAGATTACAATTTTAAAACAATACTTATTGAATGCTTACATTCATCCACACCCTGCTTCACACCCATCATCTCATTTAATTTTTTCCTTTTTTTTCTTTTTTAAGCCAGTAGATATTAACTCTCAATCATGACATGAAGAAGTAGACACACTGAAGCTCAGAGAGGTTAAGTAATTTGGCCAAAGTAACACAACTTTCAAGGAAAATGTTTGAATTTGCTGAATGTTTGATGTATAGAGAAGTTGAGTACTAACGTATGACAGAAGCAAAGTATCCACCTTTGGCACATTTTTTAGTCCAGGGAATGCTAAGATGTGGACTTGTGTATTTCATGCACATTACACCATACATTCATACTAAAAATAACAGGAAATTAGGCTGATGAAAGGCTACTACTAGACTGGTAAAAAGGGTGCTGGGGCCCTCGAAGGCCAATTTTTTTGGACCTGAGATTTTATTTAGGTGGCTCTTTCAGTGGCCAGGCTGAGCAAATCTGTCCACTAGGGTATTTATTTGGTGCATCCACGAATAAAAGCTCATGTCTGCCTGATTTATGAGACTGACAAAAAAAGAGAAGCCCAGGGCCTGACTTCACTAGGGAATTTTGACACACAGGATATTAGGTATTTTGTATCCAAACAACCATCCCTTACAACCACGGGGGTCACATCTAATGGTCAGGACTGCACAGAAGAGAACAAAGACCCTAAACATTGGAGGAAAATAGACTGAGACTGAGAAAGAAGTTCCCAAATTCATGCATGGAGGTCCAGGAGAAAGGTTCTAGTTCCTCACTTAGCTGAATAACTTCCCGTATCACTGAAAAAACAAAACAAAACCAGGCCAGGCACAGTGGCTCACGCCTGTAATCCCAGCACTTTGAGAGGCCAAGGTGGAAGTAGCCCATGAGTTTGATACCAGCCTGGGCAACATGACAAAATCCAGTCTCTACAAAAAAAAATTAGCTAGGTGTAGTGGTGTGAGTCATGATCCCAGCTACTTGGAAGGCTGAGGTGGGAGGATCACTTGAGCCCCAGAAGTCAAGGCTGCAGTGAGCTGTGATTCTGCCACTACACTCAGCCTGGAGACCCTGTCTCAAAAGAAACAAAAACCAGAGCACCTGGCCCAGGGGTTCATTTAGAGCCAGTGGGTGTTTCAGAAGGGGCTACCTCTGGAATCTCAGCTTCAGAATGTTGGCCACGTACACACACTGTGCTTAACAGCTTTAAATCAATTAATTTAAGAAAAAAAAGCCTGACTACATGTATTTAAAAGGGCAACATTGGCCAGGTGTGGTGGCATATGCCTGTAATACCAGCACTTTGGGAGGCCAAGGCGGGCGAATCACCTGAGGTTAGGAGTTCGAGACCAGCCTGACCAACATGGAGAAACCCCGTCTCTACTAAAAATATAAAATTAGCCGGGCATGGTGGTGCATGCCTGTACTCAGCTACTCAGGAGGCTGAGGCAAGAGAATCGCTTGAACCCAGGAGGCAGAGGTTGTGGTGAGCCAAGATGGTGCCATTGCACTCCAGCCTGGGCAACAAGACTGAAACTCGTCTCAGAAAAAAAAAAAAGTAATTGCAGTTTTTGCCATTAAAATTAATGGCACCAACCTAATATAATCTTGCTAGATAGATGTGGATGTCTGCAGAAAGCTGTAAGTCTGGAGACTTTATAAAAATCAGAGATTAGCAAGTGTCGAAGTGATAAGGAGTCACACTAGTAGAATTTTTCTTTGATGTAATCAGAAAAATTCAAAGAGGACAGAAGAGGGAAGAACCACTTTCTCACTCTATTATTCAATGACATTAAAGTGGAATCTGTGTATCCCTTAAAATCTTCTAGTTGCCCATGGGCAGGAGAATCCTTACCTAGAGAAGAGGAGGTTGAGAGCAGGAAGGTGTCCAGCCCAGAGAGGAAGTGGAGGGCGGTAAGATCACAGAGGCAGCTGGGACACAGGGGCAGGTAAGGGCCTGCAGGCCACAGTGGGGAGTTTGGATTTTACCTCCATTGCTGAAGAGGTTTTTTTGAGGGGGGGCTGCAGAGGGACTTTATTTTTGTTTTTGAGACAGATCTTCCTCTGTCGCCCAGGCTGGACTGCAGTGGCATGATTTCTGCTCACTCCAACCTCCATCTCCCGGGTTCAAGCAATTCTGCCTCATCCTCCTGAGCAGCTGGGATTACAGGCATGCACCACCATGCCTGGCTAATTTTCATATTTTTAGTAGACATGGGATTTCACCATGTTGGCCAGGTTGGTTTCGAATTCCTGACCTCAGGTGATCCGCCGCCCTTGGCCTCCCAAAGTGCTGGGATTACAGGCATGAGCCACCATGCCTGTCCGCAGATGAGAGTTTTTAAATAGTTATGAGATAGCAGATTCCGGCTTTAGTGAGCTCTCACTGGCTGCTTGGTAGAGAACTGAATGTAGGCAACTAAGTGTGGAGGCCTGGAAGTCAGTGAGCAGACCTGGCATGAAAGTATGTTGGGGGATGTGATAGGAAGTAGCTGGATTAAGATATAATCTAGAAATAAAACCTGGACATTTTGTTACTCTTTTTATTGAGATGAAGTCTTACTCTGTTGCTCAGGCTAGAGTGCAATGGTGTGATCATAGCGCACTACAGCCTCAATCACATGGGCTCAAGTGATCCTTCCACCTCAGTCTCTCAAGTAGCTGGAACTACAGCTGCATGCCACCACACCCAGCTAATTTATTTATTTATTTATTTATTTATTTGAGACAGAGTTTCACTCTTGTTGCCCAGGCTGGAGTGCAATGGCGCAATCTCAGCTCATTGCAACCTCCACCTCCTGGGTTCAAGCAGTTCTCCTGCCTCAGCCTCCTGAGTAGCTGAGATTACAGGCATAAACCACCATGACTGGCTAATTTTGTATTTTTTAATAGAGATGGGATTTCTCCACATTGGTCAGGCTGGTCTCAAACTCCTGACCTCAGGTGATCTGCCCACCTTGGCCTCCCAAAGTGCTGGGATTATAGGCCCGAGTCACCAGGCCCGGTCTAATTTATTTTTTTAGAGACGAGGTTTAGGTATGTTGCCCAGGTTGGTTTTGAACTCCTGGGCTCAAGAGATCTTCCTGCCTTGGCTTCTCAAAGTGTTGGGATTACAGGTGTAAGCCCCATGCCTGGCCAGTTTATTACTCAAAAAATAGGGGAAATTAGCAAGAATTATACATGCGTCCTAGTCTAGTCCCCAGCCAAGACTTTCCCCTTGAGGTTTATTAGATCTGAGAGAAAACAGGAAAGGGAACAACTTCCTCCCTAACTCGATGTTGTTAAAGGCCAAGGCCATGCACTGTCTAAGTCATCCTGAGGACCAGTGCTTCTCATTGGCCGCTTGGAGACACCTTGTAGGACAGTAAAGTCAGTTATGGGCCGGGCGCGGTGGCTCACACCTGTAATCCCAGCACTTTGGGAGGCCGAGGCGGGCGGATCATGAGGTCAGGAGATGGAGACCATCCTGGCTAACATGGTGAAACACCGTCTCTACTAAAAAATACAAAAAATTAGCCGGGTGTGGTGGCAGGCGCCTGTAGTCCCAACTACTCGGGAGGCTGAGGCAGGAGAATGGCGTGAACCTGGGAGGTGGAGCCTGCAGTGAGCTGAGATTGCACCACCTCACTACAGCCTGGGCGACAGAGCGGGACTCTGTCTCAAAAAAAAAAAAGTCAGTTATGGCTGGTCGCGGTGGCTCACACCTGTAATTCCAGCACTTTTGGAGGCTAAGGCAGGTGGATCACGAAGTCAGCAGTTTGAGACCAGCCTGGCCAATATGGTGAAACCCCGTCTCTACTAAAAATAGAAAAATTAGCCAGGCATGGTGGCAGGCGCCTGTAATCCCTGCTACTCAGGAGGCTGGGGCAGAAGAATCACTTGACCCAGGAGGCAGAGTTTGCAGTGAGCCAAGATTGTGCCACTGCACTCCAGCCTGGGCAACAGAATGAGACTCCATCTCAAAAAAAAAAAAGAAGCCAATTATGCTAGGAGGAAGAAGCAGACGTGAAAGGGTGGCAAAGTCAGGCAACAAAGGGAGTCACAGGAGCCAGGCTGCAGAAACTATAGCCACACGGGACCCTAAAGCTCAAGGGAGCCAAACCTCTTCCCTACTCCCACCGCACCCCACCCCACCCCCATTCCAAGGTCCCTGAGCCAGTCCTGGGTGAGAGGAATCATGAAAGTGGTTAAGGGTTAAGGTCTTGGGCCCTGGAGCTAGATGGCCTAGATCCAAATCCAGACTCAGTTACCTGCTGGCACGGTTGCCTGGGTTTGTTATTTCACCCTCTGTGCTCAGTTACCCTCTCTGTAAAATGTGGTTAACAACAGCACCTAGCTCATAAGGTTGTTACAGGGTTCATTGAGCTAATCTAGGTGAGGTGATTAGACTAGTACCTGGCACAGAGTAAGTCTTTAAAAATGCTGTTTTGTTAGTCTTTAACTTGTTATAAAATAACCTCTCCATGACTGATTTACTTATATCTACAATAAATAAATTGACGCCTACTTAGGTGAGCCCAAGAGAATCTCTTCCCTGCAGACAAAAGTGCTTGCCCAGACTTGAGGGGAAATAGTTTGCCGGGGTTAGGTACAGGCAGAGGGTGAGGATTTTAATCCAGACTTTCAGCCCTTATGGACTCCAAAATCCCTGATTTTTTTTTTTTTTTTTTTTTTAGACGGAGTTTTGGTCTTGTTGCCAAGGCTGGAGTGCAGTGGCACGATCTCAGCTCACTGCAACCTCTGCCTCCAGGGTTCAAGTGATTCTCCTGCCTCAGCCTCCTGAGTAGCTGGGATTACAGGCGATGTGCTACCATGCCTGGCTAATTTTTTGTATTTTTAGTAGAGATGGGGTTTCATCATGTTGGCCAGGCTAGTCT